AGTATATATTAATAGCTACAGAAGCAGGATGTTGGCTGCTGTTTTACCTGTGGCAAGTTAGGTTATGTCTTGTGTTATGTCAGGGTGGACTGATTAGTTTTGTTAAGAGGTTAGACAGTGGGCTTGGATATGGATGGTTCTGCCTTTGTCAGGTGGTCGGACTGGGTGGCCTGGAGAGGTCCCTGCCAGCCCTGCTTCTCTGTGATTCTGACTTTTCACATAGAGGCTTAGATAACCTTCTGCTGAGGAATGCCTACCCAACTTGTCTGTCTAGATTTAAAAAAGCATTTATTTATCCTTTTGCTTACTTGTAATTGAACTGTAATTCTGTACCTACAATTGTGTAATTGAAGTTAACATTTTTAAATGAGACTGAGTTTTCTGTAATCATCTGGGAGTTGATTTATTAAGTGTAGTTTAACAAAGGAAAAATGCTTTTCTCTGCCAGATGGTTACACCACCCATTTTATAAAATGTATTAATTTTAAGTTGAAAAGTTACATGGAAAGATTGCCGGACTCTTGCTCAGAAAAACTACTTTGTAATAACCTCTTTCTATTTTTGGTTATGATTTGGAGAAGATTGTGCATAGTGCAGTGCCTTGATTACAAGTCTCTTTGACTGTTTTCAAGTTTGCTTCACACCTGTGTATGACAGAAACTGGTGGCTATGGATAAAAGCTTAGTTATCTGTATGGATATGATTTAGAGCTCTTGGCCAGCCATCATGCCGTTGAGCCTGAGCTGACGTCCTGTTTTGTGGACCAGGAAGTATGGAAATGAGGTTGCACAGCAAATGCTTCTTTTTTGGAGAACACTGTGAGGAAAAGCAGTTGTGTAAGTGCTTTCTCTTTGGCTCCACAAGGTGTGATAACATTTTTGATTTTGGATTATCGTGTTTTGAATGTGGGATATTTTGCTTGCTGCTGCTTCTGTTCTAGTAATGGTTCCAATTATCTGGCAGCGGTATCCAGAAATGGAGATGGATATGTTTATATGTTGAAATGTATACAAATAAAACATTGCATGCATATACGAAGTCACCTAGGCCAGTGTTTCCCAACCTTTTCCAGCCCAAGGCGCACTTACATTAATAAAAATTTTCTGTGGCATACCTGTTAAGGCATCCCCAATCCTAATGCCTATTGCAGCTCATTGCCATGGCAAAATTCTGTGGCACTTCTGTTCATTTCTGATGGCACACTTTTGTGCCATGGCCCACTGGTTGGGAAACACTGATCTAGGCTTCCTGAATAGAAATATGGCTGGAAATCACTTTAAAGTTTGGTTCCTACTGGAATTGAAGTGAACCTCACTCATTCAGTATTATTTTTATTTTTTCTGAATATATTTGCCTATCTCTGTATTGGGTAGAATGGAGAAAATGCTCAGAAAGTGGGATTTTATAGTTGAGCTTTTATCTGAGGAAAATGGCTCTGCCTCTGCCAGGTCAGTGGTGATTTCTGCCTCCTCCCACCCCTGAGTATTTATTCTAGAAACTAGGGTATGTCTGCTTATGTGAGCTGAATCGGGTTTACTGTACCCCTCCCTTCCTGCCATATGCAAAGTTCTCTCTTAAAGTGCTGGTTGGAGAGCTCCTTTCAGGGCCTGTGGTTTTGTATGTGATGCTGTATTGAAATACATTGCTCTGTTCAAATTTTTTTGAGCTATTGTAAAAGACAGCAATAATGAATTGTTATTGGCATTGCCACATCAGTTTTATTTATACCATGTTGTTAGGTATTCATGTAAAGTTCAGGATCAACCATAAGGGCTTGGATCATTTTAAAAAATGAAAAATGAGATTAAGATGTATGATTTTTGGGAGATTGGAGCCCTAGGTACAGGCCAATAGTATCCATGCCTTTATCTAGTTGTTGAGTTCTGTATGAATGGAAAAACTCATGCTAATTACCTTTGCTTAATATTAAATGAGATATAATTATGATATGAAGGATAGTCTTTTGTTTGGTTCTCTGTTAAAATCAGGCTCTTAAATTTATATCAGGCCTTGCAAAAGAGAGTAAACGGGTGGTTATTACCATTGCATTGAGTTGATAGGGATTCCAGCTGTTGGTAATTACACTGTATTTAAAACTATATTAATCTACAGATTGTCAAAGTCATTTGAGATTTCACAGCTTTGTGTTGTACATTAAGCATTAAGATCCTATTGTAAAACTTACTGTTCTTGTCATAGCTGCCCTGTGTCATAGGGCCCTGCTCCAGGTTCAAATTAAAGCTGGATAGAAACCAGCTATAGAGTTGTTATACATTTTCAAGAACTAACTTTATAGTTAATTGGTTCTTTTTATAGCTGGATAGTTACTTTGCATGTGTGGCTGATCTAAATTTATTGTTCAACTTACCAGTAAGTTGTGTAATATATTTAACATGTAGGGGCCTTAAGAACAGCATACCTATTTTATGTAATATTTAATGACACAATTTTTTGTTTGCATAACTGGAAACAAACTTATTCCAGTGTTTCAAACTTGAATGACCATATTTTGAAATTGTTCATTGCCCACGTGAACATTTTCATATTCTATATACAGTTTAAATTGGGCTACATCTGGGAGTGGCAGCTTCCAGCCTGTGGGCTGGATGGCACATGTGGAACCTCTGGATCTGGCCCACAGGCATATGGCTTCAGTGACAGGGCACATGTTTTGTGGGCACTCTCCCTGGGCTGCTGCAGGGATAAATGCCAGTGTCAGCGTGGTCCTAGTGCCTACTCATCCACTCCTAACCCACAGTTGGCTATTCTGGCCTTCAGCCAGAAAAGTTTGCTTACCCCTAGACTACATGAATAATTTCACATGATGATTTACAATTATTTACATTTTATAGCTTGCTATATAACTGCAATTACAGGACACTCAGTCTTGTACTGTGGGTGTTTCTATACAAGTTTAAATAACATTTGATTTGGTAGTTTTATTTGACTTCTACATTTTTAAATTATTTGTAGCCTGACACCTTTCCAAAGAGGTGTCATATGATATGAAGCTGTTTGCTTGCTGAATTTCTCTTCTGCAGGGTGAATGGGGTGGGGATAGTCCAAGAGCCTAAATACACATTATGGTTGTGTTGCGGTGATGTTGTATTAGTAGTGGTCCAGGACAAATGTGAGAGGTAAGGATATTTGTGGGTGATTTTATTTTTTATTGTATCAAAATTGGGAGGGATGTAGACAAGCTTTTTGGTACCACTGTATACTTGCTCAGGTCTCTGAGGAAAAAAGGCAGACCTAGCAAAGCTAAATAGCAGATAAAACAAAGGCTTGTGCAAAACTCCATATGTAAATACAATCAGTATTTCATAGATTTCATAGACATTAGGACTGGAAGGGACCTCGGAAGATCATCGAGTCCAGCCCCCCGCCCGAAGAGCAGGAAGTCAGCTGGGGTCATAGGATCCCAGCAAGATAAGCATCCAATTTGTTCTTGAAGGTGTTCAACATAGGTGCTTGAACCACCTCCAGTGGCAGGCTGTTCCAGAACTTGGGGGCTCGGACAGTAAAGAAATTCTTTCTTATGTCCAGCCTGAAACGGTCTCGCAGTAGTTTGACCATTCGACCTAGTCATCCCTTGGGGTGGATCATGGTGGACCCAAGGCCACAATTGGCCAGTTTTGCCAAGAGCTGATCATGGGATACCAGATCGAAGGCTTTTTTGAAGTCAAGATATATGACATCAATCTCTTCTCCCTTGTCCAGGTGATAGGTCACCTGGTCGTAGAAGGAAATGAGATTGGTCAAACAAGACCTATGCACAACAAACCCGTGCTGGCTATCCCTTAGGATGTTGGTGTCGGCCAGTCCATTAAGGATGGCCTCTTTAATAAACTTTTTGAAGATCTTCCCCAGGATAGAAGTCAGGCTGATGGGCCTATAGTTAG